GTATCTATCATGTTTCCATTAAGTGAGTTTAAGAGCTTTTTTCTCTGTCTTGATCTTCAATGTTTGATTGCCATGCTTAATATCTTTGTGATCCTCTGCTTGATAGCCACTAGCAAGTGCATATGGACTAGCCAAGCACAGAGATGGACGTTGGGAATGGGCCATAGCCCCGGGTGTCTCACCTTCTGCCAGATACCAGCACGCAGCAGTATGGGATACTTCTTCTTTTCTTTTCTTTTCTTATCTATTTCCACCAGAAAAAAATAATCACTGGTGGAAATCTTTAGGTCTTTGTAAATGCAAGACTCCATGTCTCTGGTGGGGCACTTGGTGGTGGACGCATGGTGGAAGACTCATCCAGTGTTGCAGGTTAGCAAAAGGAGGGAAAAAACCTTGTGTTTGTGTTGTTATTGAGTTTTTCAATAGGAGAATTCTTACGTTTTTTGCTTATACATGCAGTATTTAGAAGGATGAACATGTTAATTAGTATACAACATTAGGTCGTCTTAACCGTTGAATCGCTACTGAAGCATATTGTTTCTTTTTAGAAGCATAATTATCATTGTCTTTTCCTTAAGCTGCATCATTCTTCCTGGAGGGCTGTAGTGGGCTGTAGAATCCAAAGTTTGCTTTAATATTTTAGATTCATCCAAAGTATCAAACACAGATTGTAAGATCACTCATATATAACTATTGTAGAGGGAGCAACAAAATTCCATTCACAACACATAGCCTATGTGTTCATCTAAGCTTCTCTGACTGGTTCTCTTTTTTTTTTTCGTTTTGTTCAGTTTTGGATACTGCAGCAGGTGTTTGGTGTGATACAAAATCGGTTGTTACTAGTCCTAGAACTGGTAGGTATAGTGCTGATGCAGCTGGGGGTGATGCTTCTGTTGAGCTGACTAGGCGTTGCAGGCATGCTGCAGCTGCGGTGGGTGATTTGATATTTATCTATGGTGGTTTGCGTGGAGGTAACGAAAAAAGCTTGACAGCTGTTATAGTCGATATACCATTACATGTTTGTCCATGAGAGCGAACCGTTTTCATAGTTTCCGAGAGTCCAATGATTCTGTTAGTTTAGCAAAATATTTCATCGAGTTGCCAGTGGATTACGCTTTTTTAAATAGGTAGTTTAATCGTTTGTGGAAGTCTGGGACTTTATTTATCAACAGTAATTAGTCGAAACATTATAGAGTTTCTCTCCTCACCAAATATCAGTGCCTATACTAACCTTTGCATTTTTTTCAAATCATATCTGCAACACTTTACAATATTGTGTATTTCTGTTAACACTCTAGGAGTGTTACTTGATGACCTATTGGTTGCTGAGGATCTTGCTGCTGCGGAAACAACATCTGCTGCCTCTCATGCCGCTGCTGCCGCTGCAACAACAAACTCGCCACCTGGCCATTCACCTGGAAGATATGGATTTTCTGATGAAAGGACAGGGGAGCTACCGGAATCAGCTCCTGACGCTGTTGTGTTGGGAAGCCCTGTTGCTCCGCCTGTAAACGGGGATATGTATACTGATATAAGCACAGAAAATGCAATGGTTCCAGGAACCAGGTTAGCGTCTTAATGTTTGCTTTGTCGCATTGTTAACGCGCCTCTGCATTCTGTTACGAAAAATATTACCAACATTGTAGGAGAACAAGCAAGGGTGTTGAATATCTCGTTGAAGCATCCGCTGCGGAAGCCGAGGCTATCAGTGCAACATTAGCAGCTGCGAAGGCACGACAGGTCAACGGTGAAGTTGAACTCCCAGATAGGGATCGTGGTGCTGAGGCTACACCCAGTGGAAAACCTTCTTCCTCATTAATTAAGCCTGATTCTGCGGTATCAAACAGTGTTATCCCTGCAGGGGTTCGACTTCATCACAGAGCTGTGAGTCAAACTAATAGATTAAGTAAAATTTGAAGTTTAGAAACATATTTCGAGCATCATGTCTCTCTTTTGCTAGTGTTGTGCTTCTCTAATTATAAGTGCTAATACTTGTTATTTCTGGAACTTTGTAAGGTGGTGGTTGCTGCAGAAACGGGTGGAGCCTTAGGTGGAATGGTTAGACAGTTATCTATTGATCAATTTGAAAATGAGGGACGCCGTGTTAGTTATGGGACACCCGAAAGTGCAACAGCAGCAAGGAAATTATTAGATCGGCAGCAGTCGATCAATAGTGTTCCGAAAAAGGTAGAGACTTTTGTCCTTCAAATGAAGTATTGCAAGAAAGCATTATGTTCCTGAATGGATTTATATGATCATTTTGTACAATTTGGTGCAAGAGATTGCTTGCTTGAACCATTGACGAGAAATTTTCTTGCTCTGGCACCAGTCATTTGGTTGTTCTCATAGGAATAAGAAGTGTAGTAAGATACTATAGAGTTGCATTACCCTTAAAGCTTCGACTAGGTGGTCCCGGCATGGTGACTATTCAATGCTTTCTAATGAAGTCACAACTCTGTTTTCTTAGGTTGTAGCTCATCTGTTGAAGCCTCGTGGGTGGAAGCCTCCTGTACGACGCCAGTTTTTCTTGGATTGCAATGAAATAGCTGATCTTTGCGACAGTGCAGAGCGTATCTTCTCAAGCGAACCCACTGTGTTACAGCTTAAAGCGCCTATTAAGATATTTGGTGACTTGCATGGTCAGTTTGGGGATCTCATGCGTCTTTTTGATGAATATGGTTCACCATCAACAGCTGGAGACATATCGTATGTGTCTAATGCAATATGATCACTACTTTCTCGATCGCTATAGTTGGTTTGACATTGCTGATTGTGTGAATTAATGGTTTTTCAGATACATCGATTACCTCTTCTTAGGGGATTATGTTGATCGTGGCCAACACAGCCTAGAAACAATTACACTTCTGCTTGCGTTAAAGGTAGTTATAAGAACACCATGTTAATCCTGTCTCTATTCTGGTATTATAAACGCTAGATAGAAAAAGGTGTGACATTGTATGGCTGACACTGCAGGTTGAATACCAGCATAACGTACATCTAATTCGTGGAAACCATGAAGCCGCCGATATTAATGCCCTTTTTGGTTTCCGGATAGAGTGTATTGAGCGAATGGTAAATGTCTCATCTTTGTGAATCTCGTGTTTAATTGTTTCCACTTTTAGGTCTCATGTCGTGGCTACTTTTCAGGGTGAACGTGATGGAATCTGGGTGTGGCACCGAATAAACCGTTTATTCAATTGGCTACCTCTGGCTGCATTGATCGAGAAGAAAATTATCTGTATGCACGGGGGAATTGGTCGGTCGATAAATCATGTGGAACAGATAGAAAATATCCAGCGTCCAATTACCATGGAAGCAGGCTCAATTGTGCTTATGGATTTGCTATGGTCAGTTCAATTTTGAACGCTATATATCATCCTAGTTTTTTTCTTTTTTCTTTGGTCAATCTCTCACTAGCATGTCAATTTGCCATCTGTTAGGTCCGATCCAACTGAAAATGACAGTGTCGAAGGTTTAAGACCCAATGCTCGAGGCCCTGGATTGGTTACTTTCGGGGTGAGTGGTCTTTTCGGTTCTTTCATACTTTTCGCATTGAACTAATTCTCAACGTTAAGAATCTTGACTTATTCGTGGGCTTGTTAGACAATGATACTGTTCGCTTCCATAAGTATTATTGCCGGTTATGTTACTTAACCAAGAAATTGGAAATTGCAGCCTGATCGTGTCATGGAGTTCTGTAACAACAACGATCTTCAACTGATTGTACGTGCGCATGAATGTGTGATGGACGGATTTGAGCGATTCGCTCAGGGGCATTTAATAACGCTCTTTTCGGCAACAAACTATTGTGGTATGTCTATGGAACTGAAAATACACTACTAAGCTGGTCAAAACAACCAAGTCTCTTATGAAATGATATATTGATATTCTTCGTCTCAGGTACTGCAAACAATGCCGGGGCTATCTTGGTGTTGGGGAGAGATCTTGTGGTGGTTCCTAAGCTTATCCATCCGTTGCCTCCAGCAATAACATCACCTGAAACTTCACCAGAAAGACATATAGAGGACACATGGATGCAGGTGTTTTAATTAACAAACAAATTTTAAATCCTTTATATTATCACAAAAACTGTCGTAAATGAGCATTTTATTTTACAGGAGTTGAACGCAAATCGACCACCAACACCAACCAGAGGACGACCACAAACACCAAATGACCGTGGGTCTCTTGCTTGGATATAAAACCCCTCACAAAAAAGAGACTCTCGTGCGAGATGACATACTTCTTCTCCCGATAGCCGCCTCTTGATGATGATCCTCTTGTTTTTGTACAGATCCAACCAAAACCAATCTTGATCAACAATCATCGCTTGCGAGATAGAGCTCACTGAGAATCGATGAGGGTTTTTTGTTGAGATATTGGACAGATGATGGGAGGGGTAAAGGAAGTCAGGTCGGATGATTTTGGAGGTGGTGATTAGTAGTTGAGGGAGAGAGTAGTTGTTGGGTCAAAAGGGTTTTTGTTCATTTATTTGTTTGTCTTCTATATATGTTCTTTCGTTCAAAAAAAAAAATGTTCTTTCGTTTTTCCTAGTATTGATTTATCTGTGGTATGAGGACACAACAGAAGTGACTAGAAAGGTGAGGATTTTAGAGGTGTATTAGCTTTTTTGGGGACTGTGTATCATAGAGGTGTGTGGGCATTGTGTAATTTCTATATAATTATGTAATTTTTAACCCAGGTTGTCTGTTTTATGATTTCCAAACTGTCTCCCTTCCGTTCTTTTTTTCCTTCTACAACCAAGAAAGGATATTTATCATATCTACGACAAAAATAGTAATTATCATATATTTTAGTTAAAACACAACAAACCACTTTGATGACAAAAAAAAAAAAAAAAAAACACCACAATTGAGAAAGGTATATATGTATATGTTAATTAGGGTTTACGAAAAAAAAAAAGGAAGAGAAGAAGCCACCACACAAGCTCTTCTACATCGCAGCTGCGTTGAAGCTTCACCTCCATGAGTCATGAGATCATGGCCAGAAAAAGATCCGAAAAAATCAATCTCCCTCTGGATATAACGTTAGAGATACTAAAGAAACTTCCTACAAAGTCTCTGGCGAGGTTTCATTGCGTCTCGTATCGATGGGCAAGTATCATCAGAGAGTTTATAATAGTAAATGACTCGATCGTAACTCAACGACCGCGTGATCCCCACTTCATCTTCCATCGCATGACTCAGTGTTTAACTGATCAAAGTACTTTGAGGGCTTTTTCATCACACGAAACTTTCTCCATCTTCTCGTATACTTACCTTCAACGTCAAATCACAAACGAAGAACAACTCTACCATGAGAAAGTCTTTGGAAACGGAAAAGTACGTAGGGCAACGTTTCAATATGTACGTGGTTTGATAGGGTTTTGGTTTCAAGGGTCTAATCAGTTCAAAATACACAACCCTACCACTAGTACTAAAACTGTTTTCTTACCCATTGAGCGTTTACCCACAAGCTGCTCATTCTTATTCGGGTACGACCCTTTCAAGAATCAATACAAAGTATTGTGTCTACCACGTTATTATCAGAAGGAGTGTTGTAAAGTTTTCATATTGGAAGATTCCTTAAACATGTGGTGGGACATCGAATGCGACATTGGCCATCAATCGCCATGTGAACAAGCAGTTTGCATCAGCGGTGTCATCTATTACAGAGCAAAGTCGAAAAAGAACTGGAGTTATGTTTTGATGAGTTTCCATCTTAGGTCTGATAAATTCAAACTTGTTCAGATTCCCGAAAATCTGCCACTTGACGATAAAGATACGACTCTTGTAAACTACCAAGGGAAGTTAGGATGCATATGTCGCATCAACGACGAGGATGTGGACATGTGGGTTATGGAGGATGCCGAGAAACAAGAATGGTTGAAGATTACTTTTGGTTCCATGCTTCAAGATTTATCAACTTGGGATATCAGATTTGCGGGTGTCACAAATCCTGGTGGTGAAATCGTTATAGTCCATAGAGAATATCTCAGTGAGTTTACTTTAGATGTTTATTATTATGACCCGGAACAAAAGATTCGAAGAAGAGTTGAAATCCAGACTCCAACGTCGTTATTAAGAGTAAGGCCAAGTGATATTCTTACAATATGGGCTGTAACGGATCATGTTGAGAATATAATGTGTTTCCCAAAGGTTTCTGTCTCTTGAGGATAATCGTCTGGAAGTGCTGTCATTTGTTCGTTTTGCTATCTCTTTTCTTAGTTTGTTATTTGCTTTAGTCACTAGATTGCATTTCTTCTTTCTTTCGGTTATTCATGTTTCTTGGTTTCTTGTTTTCTCAACATTTCTATTTTCTTGACTCTCTTGTCATCAGAGATGGATATAACCAAAACTTGATGTTAGCTTACATATTTTGGCTTTTGCTTCTAGCCGATCAAGCACACTGAGCTTCAACCTCATCTAGTTTTCTTTCGTGACGCAACCTTCCCCATATCAGTCTTCTTTGGTGGCATTTTGTTACCAAATCCCTTATACATTTGTATCTGTTCTTCTCCATATCAATCTTCTTTTATGAAAAAGGTAAATACACGATTTGAGAGAACAGTTTCTGGAGTCTCTCTCCTCCTTTTTACAACGTTCACCAAATCGTTGATGATCTTTTTCTCAATTCTAACCTTAACATAATTAATACTAGGAAGCACTCCTAGTAAAATCCCACTCATACTCTTCTTGGAATGAAACTGCTGACCTGACTAGGTTTTTTTGCACACTGTTTCTCTTCTTGTATTTGTAGAGGATTGGCTTGGGTGCTCAGCTGCATACGTATCAGTCCAATATTTTACAACTTAATGTGCTTGAAGAGAGAAGTTGAGATAACCGCAAAAAAGTTTATGTAGAATATCGGAGCTACTAGTAGACCATTCACCATGCTCAAGAAAATAGACTCCCTCATTGCTAATGTGTTCATTCGACAATGAGATGGAAAAAGAGGAGGAAGAACCGATCCTATTCCTACATTTGTCACACTCTTTTGGTAAATCATGAAGGAAAACCCATTTAAAGGAAATAACATCAAATCAAAATCTATTATCAACTAATTACTCCCCTCCTAAAAAGTTATATGATGTTGCATTTCACATTTTCACACTCGTCACATAGTATAAGAGAAACATTAAACAGAAAGCGAGTACGACAATTATAAGTACTTGTAATTCACACAGAACAGATTTCAAAACATCTGAAGGAACTAAGGCATCTAACTAACTAGCTGCTCCAATGTAGGTACCAAATAGATTGCAATGTCTACATGTAGACAACAGATAACTACCAAAATGTTAGCAGAAAAAGAAAACACGAGTCAATAAGCATCACTTAAGAAATAAGCACATAAAAACATAGTAAATACTCACATTTAATTCAAGTAAAAAGGAACCAGCCTTCAAGGTATCCCAACGTCCTCCGTTTCAAAGGCTTACCAAAGCTGATGATCCGGAACGTTTCTCTTTCCAATGTTTTATTTCAGGAATCAAGTTCACATATTGTTTATGCGATTCTGGAGCCAACGTCAACATCATATCTAAGACGTTTGACAAGAAACTAGGGATAAAAGCACCAAAGAAATCGACAATTAATGTATTTTGGGGATTCTTCTCAAAAAGATACCGAACGTCGTAATTTTACATAGTTTTTATGACTATTTGGCATCGACAATAAACGCTCGCTTGAATCGACGGAAAATCGTCGTAATGTGTCGTAAATATTACGACGAATTTTCGACGACTAATTTCTACGACGATTTTTCGACAATTAGTTTTTTGGTCGTCATATCATCGTCAAACCGTCATAAATTTGCAACGATTTTCAAACTGTCGTAATGGATCGTTGGAAATCGATTGTTCTCTTGTAGTGAGGAATGTCTTCATGAAACGTTAGAACTTCAAGAAGATCTTTGAACTATTTATGTATTTTGTTTTATTGACAAACAAGTCTCAATAGTTTGTTTTAGTATATGCATTATCGACTTATTTGAAAGTTTTTTATTATACATGTAATCTCTATATTATTATTTGAGTAGACATTTATATAAATGAAATTTTGTTTGTAAGATATTACAGAATATTTTACATAAATAAATATTTATTTATAAAATACTACATAAATAAACTTTTACTTATAAGATATTACATAAATAAACTTTACAAATAGAAAAAACTCAGTTAAATATTCCTCCATAAGAGATAGTTAAATACAGAACTCACATATTTGTTTTGAATATATATGGATATAAATCAAAAGTGTATTTAGTTTTTCACTTATTCAAATATATTATATTATTTTAAATAATAATCAATCCATATATATATATATTTTTTTTTTGTCGACTACCCATCTACTAAGCCACGTCTTGATCGGTAGGATGATGATTCCGGAAAGTCACCTCCACCGATTCTGTCTGACTTATATGGGAGAATATGATACCACGTACTCGAGCTTCTTTAGCGAGAGAATCAGCTCGGACGTTTAAAGCTCGAGGTATATGAATGATGTTAAAAGCCGAAAATGTCTCTCGAAGATGTTGGAAGGCGTCTAATTCTGAAGTGAAAGCCGGCCAATCGATCGGATTCTCAATCATTTCAATTAAATTCAAACAATCTGTCTCAATTTGTATCGTTAAAATGTGTTTATCTTTTAGGCATAGCATAGCCCAAAGAAGAGCATCCATCTCCGCATGTAATGATGAGATACTTTTGCGGCATCCTTGGAGTCCAAAAACCTCTTGTCCCATAATGTCCTTATAGCTCCACCCTAGTCCACTAACTAAACCATGGTCAATCCAAGAAGCATCGATTTGGCAGTTTGGGATTCGGGGTATTAAAGGCGGGGTATAAGAGTTGTCGTGAGCCTGTGGGACCTCAGTCTCTTCCTCACATTCTCTTTGGTTCGCTATCCTCCAGCTTTCTGCTTCGAGTGAAGCTAACTGGAGTGTTTTCACCGCTGAAGTATCTTTTCCGTTAAACAGTTTATCGTTTCTTGCTTTCCATATGAACCATATGATCCAAGGATAAATGTCTTTATGTGGTTCAACTAGACCTACTTCTTTTGTTCTCCAAAATAGGAAGTCCATATTTCGGTAAATAGAACTACACGGGAAGAAGCCCGGAAGGGACGGGAAGTCCGATAAAGCCCAAACTTGTAAAGCCGGGGGACATTCAAAAAGAAGATGGTTGATAGATTCCTCAGGGCCTCCACATCTAGGGCAGCTCCTATCATTGCCAAGGTGTCTATAAGTTAAATTTTCACAAGTTGCCACACATCCTGAGAGCGCTTGCCACATGAAATGTTTTAGTTTCCTCGCTGTGCGGACTTTCCAAACGTGACTTTGGAGGCAAGTGATACTTGGTTCTATCGCTTCCTCCGGGTTTCCACGTAAGTTAAACTCTCGGATTAAAACATATCCGGATTTCACCGTATAAGTTCCTGATTTTGTGTGATTCCATGCATACCCATCAAGGGAAAAATTACGACTAGGTCTCAACCCAAGGATAAGAGGGATATCCTCAGGTTGGAAGAATTCATGAAGGAGGGGAACATTCCACTCTTTAGTATCTCGTCTAATAAAAGTATGAACCATGAGTTGAGGGTGGCGATAGCCTATCCCGACTGAAGCTCTTGCGGGTCTGGCTGGCATATCCGGGATCCACGGTTCACTCCAGACTCTAGTATTAAGGCCCGAACCAATAGTCTTCCTCAAACCAAGCTTTAAAAAGGGTTTTCCGGCAAGAATACTACGCCAACCAAATGACGGTGAGTAAACTCTCCTGTCTTCTAGCGGGCATGATCTATTATAATATCAATCCATATATATAAAAAATCTATTTGAATTTTTCCAATATTTTTCATTTTTATTTTCATAATCAATTTGATAATTTTTAAAAATCAATTCAATTATTTTTATAGAAAAAAACTGAAATATGTTTTCAAAATTTATATTGTATTTTTTACGGGTTGTTCAAAAAAATATTTTATTAAATTGCAAAATAAATTAAGTAGACGGGTTTGTTTACTTTGACAATCCTATATATAATCATTATTAACACATATTATAGACTTCATTAACTGGATATGATAGTTTGATCTCTAATAAAATATTCACAATTAAATTCTTATTATCTAGATATATATATATATATTTAGATTCTAATCTATGTTGGTATGTATATAAGTATATATATATATATGTATGTTAACATCATATCACTTTTACGTTTAAAAATTACTAACAATTAAACTGCATAACAAAATTAGCTTAAAATCTTATTTGATAATATATATACAAGTAAATATCGGTTCTGTGATATTTATATATGTATTATTATCTAATTGCCACCAATTTTATTTGTTTATATTTTTTGTTAAAAGATTTTTGTCACCAATTTTAATTTAACAAAAAAAAATTAAAATTAAATTTAAAAACAATTTTGAAAAAACATTACCCGTACAATATGCGGGTTAATTCCTAGATATGTACAAACATGGACAAGTCTTCCCCTGAAAAATTTATTAGAATGATTTTAGGATATCCTTCCTAAAATACTAATAACCCTTATCTGAATTTTCAATTCCAGAAGACCTTCCTAAATTTCAGGAAGGATTCGTAATAGATAAGAAGGTTTTTCTGAATGGCTGAATCTTAAACTTCCAAAGATCACGTTTTGAATATCTCTTAAAGATTCTGAATGTATGAAATGTTTCTGTATTTGTTGTTTAAAACATTTTTTTATTTATTTGTTGTTTAAAACATTTTTTCTTGATTTGATCAGGTTTAGGATATTTTGTGATGTATGAACATGATTGAATGCCACTAAAAAATAAGTAGGCTTGCGATGCTTTTGAAGAGTATGTCAATTCAGACCATTTGTTTATATTTTAATTTCTAAAGTCTTAGGCTTATAACTTGTGTTTGTGCTGGTATGTAGATATTCATCTTATTTTATGTTTTCATCAAAAAACTCTTAAATTTTCAGAGATATGTATTGCTGCCAATTTGACAAGTAGAACTTGTTTTATATTTACTTGTTTTTTTTATCTCTTCAACCTGTCACTGAATTTGTAAGTGTTATTATTATTCAATTGCGCTTAATAGCAATTTGGTGGGCCAGAAAAAAAAATTGAGGCAAGATAATCCTTTTCCTTCTTCACTATTTGTT